CTCGAGGGCAGTGAGTTTAGGTTTTGATTTCTTTTTTCTTAGTTCCGGTTCGAACCTTTTCCTTACTGGCTGAGCGCTTCAGCGCTGCGCCACCAGCGCGCGCTCCGTGCAAAGAGCGCTGTGCCCTCGCTGCTGCTTAGGGCACAGCGTCGCCTACTCCGTGTGGCGTTCCCGCCTGCTCGGGTCGGCTGCCGGGTCCCGCGTCGGGGACCTGTTGTGAACAGCACCCACCCCTCCCCGGGGTTTGTGCACCTGTTGTCCCTTTGCAGGAACAAGCAAGGGCCCTTCCTGCTGTTCGTGTCCTTCCTGCACGCTCACCTTCCCTTGGTGACCACGGAGCGGTTCCGGGGGAGGAGCGCCCACGGGCTCTACGGGGACAACGTGGAGGAGATGGACTGGATGGTGGGTGAGTGTCTTCTCCCGGGGCCGCGGCTGCTCCCTGCCCGGGGCTCAGGACGTCAGAGTGAGAACGTGGGGATGCACCTTCGCGCCACGGGGAGACAGGTATATCGTTCGGTTCCTGGGGTGGCTTATATCTCGCTCCTTCTGGGGCTTTGCCCGCTGAGAGAATTCCCGCCGTTGCATGGTTTTGTGATCCAAGTGGTTTTGTAACGGGCAGGACGAGCTTCAGGTGTTGCTGTCTCAAAAAGGGGGACATGAGATTTCAAGGAGGCTTGGCAAGTCGCGCTGGGGTTCACAACTGGGCAGGAACCACCACGTGGGAGATAGCACCCACACGTGTGGAACTGAGGGGATCCCAGGAGACCAGAAGCCCAAGAACCCTACAGGCTAAGAGCATGTGGCCCAGAGGCTGTGGGTCCCAGTAGTCCTGCAGGGGGAGGGAGACCCTCATGGTGCACCTGCCTCTGACCAGGAGCAGGGTGAGAGAGAGAGAGGCCTGCAGGGTGAGGGAGACCCTCCCCATGCACCTGCCTCTGACCAGGAGCAGGGTGAGAGAGAGTGGCCTGCAGGGTAAGGGAGACCCTCCCCATGCACCTGCCTCTGACCAGGGGCAGGGTGAGAGAGAGTGGCCTGCAGGGTGAGGGAGCCCCTCCCCGTGCACCTGCCTCTGACCAGGAGCAGGGGGAGAGGGAAGCCTTCCCACAGCCAGGGTATTTCAAATCACAGGCTGGGGAAAGCATGGCTCATGGTCTCAGTTGACCTCATTGGCTGAGGTAAGCCTGCCTAGGTGAGGTCATGAGCCTGGGGCTAGTCTGGGCTCCCAGGTGAGCCTCCCACCTGGCTCGGGGGACTGAGTACCAGCATGCTCTGTTTGGGGTCTGCTTAGGTATCTAGTGATTGCCTTGCCAACCTCCCTTATGGGGGGCCTTTAATGGCATGGGTGGGACAAGCCCGAGTCCCTAAATCTAGCTGCCTAAAAATAACGCTCAAATTCACAGCCATCCAATCGGCGCTGGCCCGTAAGCACCCTGGGCTGGTATTCTTGTGAGGTGACCCCAGTTAGTTCTGACTCACGTTCAGTATTCTTCACCACCGTCCAAACGCATCCATTCTGCCTTCGGTCTTCTTAGGGGCCGACGTCCACGTGCAGACCAGGCAGTTGAAAATACCGTGGCTCGTGGGTCAGACGCCCCTTTATTCTCCTGGGGACATCCTTGCTGTTCAAGCCTCCGAAGAGGTCTCCCGGGGGAGGGCGGGAGACGGACCCAAGGCAATGCGTCTTGGGATCTCTTAAGTCAGCGGTTTCCCACCTGTGGGTCGCAGCCCCTTTGGGGGTCGAACGACCCTGTCACGGGGGTCGCCCGATTCATCACAGTAGCAAAATGACAGCGATGAAGCAGCAACGAACACCATGTTATGGTTGGGGGGTCCCCGCCGCGTGAGGACCTGTATTCAAGGGCCGCGGCGGGAGGAGGATCAGTTGACCGAATAGCCAAGCGAGAACGAACCCTTATCAACGTCCATCTTGTCACCGTTTATCATAAGGCCACTTATGGTCCCTATGGTGGCTTTGAACTGCTGACCTTGCATAATTATTAGGGTGTTTCTTCTGCCACCATCCTCCCCTGGGGCGCCAGATCCCAGATTTTTTTCCCGGCATATGCAGACTTGCATTTATTTTATTTTTTTGATGGCA